ATCGTTTATTACGGTCGCTGAACGCGAAAAGCAATGTTCTAGCGTTTTATGTGCCCACGCGGTATTTTTCTACATATGTATGTTACGAGGTTACTTTAATATGTGTTCCTGATATTAATCATTAACCAATCATGCGCAACTGGAGCTTGCTGACTGAAATTGATTAGTAAGCTATTTCACGTGAGCGGTAACTTTACATTTTTCGACGCCTGATGAATTATTCGTGGGCATATATCGGGTGATGAATCACGTTGCATTTTTTATTTCTGCGATATGTGTATAGCCGGATACGCGAAACAAATAAATGAGTGTTAATTGCGTTGTATCAATAAAAATGATTGATGACACTGTCTAAGTTTTCGCGTCTAAATTGTCAGGCCGAGGGTGTGCAAATTGATGGACTCAAATGGCTCCCGCAAAAGGAAAAAAAATAGAATAAATTTTGAGTCACTGTTAAGTTCATAAAAATTTATGAATGAAACTCTTATTTTATTGGAACAAAGCTGCATATCACATGTTAATCGTTACACGGTAATTATCGCTTGTAGCGATACAAAATTGACACAAGTTAAAAGTTTTAATAATTTAATACTGTTATTGACATATAACAGTTATTAAATAACAGCGATTGGCAATAATTTACATGCATGCTTAAATATATTCTACAGTTTATTTAATTAAAACATTTTTAATCGAAAATTTCTTATGAATAGAAGAAGCAGATATTCTCCTAGCTATTATTCGAGTCATTAATGCTCTCTTTAATATTACAGTTCTACAGATGAAAGCTTTGGCTTCAGCAAAGATGGCTTAGATCCAGAACTATTATCTTTGTGTTATTTCAAGTCATAGCATTTTAATGTCAAATATATATATACATTTATCACTTATTATCACAATAAAATATGTTACATATATTATAAATGTTTTAATAAATATATTAAATGTTTAAAAATTAAAAAATAGAAAAATTAAATTTAAGACATTGAAATGCGCGATACAAAAGAAATTTGTGAATTAATTAATATGAATATATCTTATAGAAATAAAAATACATTTACAATCCATTTGCATAGCTGCTTTTCATTATGGAAGTGAGTCACGAGTTTCTCTTCTGCATTCTCAAGTTGTTGACTACTTCCTTGAAGATGAATATAAAAGGACCGTTATCAAAGTTGTTTACATCTACGAATTGTACGCTTTAATATTCAACGTGTTTGCAGAATGAAGTTTTTCGAATAATATTAAAGAAAAGACCATTTGCGCAAATGTCAATTGCGACGTTTCGCCACGCGCTTCTTCTAATTGAGATGTCTGATAATTTCCTCTCACATTTTGCTACGAAGCGTTCGGCGGCTAAATTCGCCGCGCAATTTGCTCGCTCCGTTTTCATCATCTCTGTTTCGTGCGCTACACATTTTCCACCCTTCCTGTTGCGTGCGCGAGCTAGTTTGTCCGATTTGCTGCGAATTCGGGAGAGAGAAACCACCGGCGAAATTTACGCGGTCGGAAAAAATATGGGTACGGCTGTGATTCCCATCCGAGCGAATAAATGCGCGGTCTCGGTGGCGATAAGCGCGGGAACAGGATTGACGCAAAAGTTTCGCGATATTTCTCCTCGCGTAAATCGCAACGAACGAGGTACGAAGTAAGCGGAAACAAAGCGCTCGCGTTGTAAGATGAAAGAAAGGGAAGCTGCCGGAGATTGCATAAATTTGCAGACTGACGGATAAAGCTTGAAGTGCAGCGTTATACCCGTTCCCGTCCAAATTTATTCCCGTTCCGGAGAGAACGAGCATTAAGCAAGACAGAAACCCGGAGATGAGACTGATAAAATATGTCACAGTTCATTTCCGGTTCAAAGCGACGTAATTACGCGCATTTATTCTTTCAAACAATATTTTGCAACGACATTATGCATCTGAAATACTAAGCTTAATGTTAGCTCGTTCAACGCTCACAAACGCATACTTTGTCAACTTACAAATTATTCACATTATATTAATGCACTCATAAGATGTTAGAGATATAATTGTTCGAATAGAAATACAATAGAAGTAGGATACGGCTGTTTATGTGCGATTTTTACAATCGCTAAACTACTGTGTTTAGTCAAGGGCGTGATTAAGCACATCTTCTACATCTTGACCTAAAATTAGTGAACGAGGAAGTATGATCTGTGCGATTTCCATGTCAGGAACAAATGGCTGACAGTGTCGTCCTCTGAAAAATGTGCTTTGCGCATGCAATCCTTTAATTATTTTAACTATCTGGGATCTAGATACAGATTATGTTAAGGTTACATCTAAATTTGGAATATATTTCATGTGTTATATTCGCGAATACGTTTTTCTCGCAAACTGCAATCTATCGAAATTTTAACATGATATTTCATCTTTGTGTCATTTTTTTTGCGCTTTATAATAATGTGCACTGATACTTTAGAATTTAAGTCTCTAAATAATGAATTGTTACAATGACGACTATGGTGGTAGCTGGAAAGTTGTGAAGCATTCATTTCCAAGGTAGAAGAGAAATCTGATATTCTTGGATAAACCGTAATAATAGATGATGCTAATTGGGGTCTCGTTAAGTGGTGGAGTGGTATCCTTTTCTTTTATACAATTGTATCGATTTGCAAATGAATTTCGCTTGCAAATTATAACTTTCTCTGTTTTTGACATTATCAACAGCATTGTGATGTAAATTGCTAACATATATATACATAAACTTGGAACAAAAATTTTTATCTTTTTAAAAGCTTCTTTTCAATTTAAATAAAAACAACAGACATTTTTAGAACATTTCAGTTTGTCGCTATTGAATTGTTAAGAGATAAGGAATCATCTCGCAGTCGTGGATCGGGAATAGAGAAAATAATGTGCTGAAAGAAGTGTTGTCAATCTGATAAATATTGCGTGTCACTGCTGGGCTCATAAATATGTATTAAGTTGCACCGCAATATATACTTCTCTCAATTGCGTTAGTATATGGAAAAATGTGTTATCGATTGCATTATAAATGAAGTGTTAGACTTTGTCGGAATAGAAAATCGGGAGACAGTGATAATGAACCCGTGGCGCAGCACTGCGTCACATTCATCTCTGATTAAAATAACTGGTGCGCAAAGAAGGAATTTACCATGTATGAAATGCTATTGCAAAGCCAGGACTATTTGACGAAAACCATGCGCTGTCAATTTCGCCAACGTATTACGGTACAAGCACATTAAATATTATACGCTTACCCGCGTTTGATCTGTCGATTAAAATTAACCGGATAATCATATGCAACAGTCTCCCTCATAAATGATAGATGTTTGAAGAACATGTACAGCGCACGTATATTGTATATGTCATTATTATACCATACAAATCCAAATTTAACGGAACATTATGGAAATCTTATGCTTCAAATACAGCTTTTGATTTAATGCGATGATATAAACCATTTATCTTGTCATATACAGTACATTGCATTTCAATGAGTATAGAATTGTATCTTTATCTATTGATATGAAAGATATGTGGAAAAAAAAACGTAAAACTTCAATGCTCTTTTGCTATTATTTTATCACTGACGTTTGATCAAGCTAGATTAATTGTTGTCATGGAAAGAGAATTAAATATCTTTAATCGTATACAAAATTATTTTATACATTATTTTTTTCATTTTTCTTGATATTATGAATATTAAATCCGTTTAAAGTAGTACTTGTACATGATGATATATTTTTTTTTAAGTACGCATGCCTACTTAAAACAGTGAAAAATGATATTTTTTGTCGGATAAAATTTCAAGTAGAATAAATCAATTTCATAGCAGTCCGCTTGTTGGAGCCAAGGATTTTCGCCTCTTGAATTCTCTCTGAATTCATGTGAAAAAGCTTTACAAAATCACGAAAAAAGACTACGAGCACAGGGCTATTATTGCAGTAATGCTCGCCGCTAGGAGAGCATTTCGATAACATTAACGCTATCGGGTCCGCTGCGATACATGATAATGTCGCCGCACTATTGACGTCGAAGTACTACTGACCGAGTACGCGGCATGACTGAGAGAAATTAAATTTCTTATACGAAATCTTAATATGTATCAGAAAATATGGAATAGAAGTTAGTTGTCGGGTCAGCTTGTATTACAATATCTCTACGTGCATAGAGTAATTTCAGTTGCGGTTTCGGAGATTAACATCGTATTCACAATTGAAGAAAACTATATAGTTTGCATTGTAATTTGCTGTACGTAACTCATAATTAATGTTCTCGAATAAGCGTTTGCGTATCACAGTTGGGAAATGCAGTGAAATATATGCAATACGCGGTTAAGTTGTGAACATAGAATTCTTTCTCAAACAATATGCAAATAATTAAATGGTAAATGCTTTTTGTCCGCGTAGCATTTACACAACTAGCATTGTACACATACCTTTGTAATGGTCACATTTTTTCTAGGACATAATCATAAATTTAAAGCGCGGTCCGTCGTGCCACACGCGAAGGGAGGACTTTTGCGTTTCATTTGTTTGACCTTGACAATTCTATCGTAGTTATTTTGCAACAAGACATTTATTATCGACAGTAGTATTACTTTGATTAATCATAAGTTGCACTTAAACATGAGTAATGCTCAAGCTTGCAATATAATATTACTTGTAATAATGACGATTTCAATCATTTTTATGTGCTGCAGGTGAAAAGCTACATTTTTTTTTAAATTTAAACATTTTTAAAAATATTTACTTACAATATTGTGTATTTTAACAAAACAATTTTTCAAATTATTGAAAGCAAAAAAAGGAATGGTTATTTCAATGTTTAAATCAAACTTTAATATTAAATATTAAAACTGGAACAAATAGAAACCTTTAATTAAATTCTTTTTACAAAGAAACTTTGCTTCAATTCTTTTACGCAAATTTTATTGCATAAATGCGTTAAAGAGAAAAGGCGATACTTTTTGGATTTGTTATATATCTGAATAATATATTTCTGCTATAGCTCGTGTTTCTAGGATGTCCGAGAGATGACTGGGTACTGAGGAGGAGAGGGCGCAGTGGCTTTGAAGGTTGCTGCCACCTCGGTTTGGTGGAATGGAGATGAACGGCACCGAAAGCAGCCTGAATGGCACCGAGGTCAATCGCACTTCCGCGCCTATCTTTACTATTGGCACGGATTTTATCACGCAATGGTGAGCGCATATCTTTTATTTAGGATTGGCATTTGGTCAGAAGGGAATGCGACACTGTGAATGAATGTAAATTGTTACTTTTCGCAATGTGTCGGTAGTCCCTCGGGCTCCTGCAAATTTTAGCATATAGACTGCGACTGCATAGTTATCGCTGCTCCTACGTCATGTAACCATCGCGCGACCGTGAACGCGATGCACATAGATCGGCTGTTTTGCGGATATTCTGCGTAAATACATTATAACTTTAATATATTATTTTAGATTAAACTAATTTTGCAATTTTATTATCTCTTGCCGGGATTGTTTTTTAGATAGCTAATCTCACATGTTAATCTCTGAATAGGAAATCTGCATTGCAAAACCCGCACGGCGTATCTATGCAAAAAAATAGTATTAGTGAAAATAAAAAGACACATTTAAAATTTACTTAATGGCTTATTAATTAAAAAATTATTTAAAATTACGTAAAAATATTTAAAAACTACTTTCATATCTCTACATTACTTTACAATAGATTGCTTTTAAATTCTCCTTGCCGGCATGTACTTGCGCTATGTAACGTGATTCGCGATTCCCGGTGGATTTTGCGTTGTGGGAAATTTCGGGTAGACAAATCGATAGCTCAAAGTCATATTAACGGGATAATTATAATTGACATTATTAATCAGTTTACCGGATGTATATCAAGTTGTAATAGAAAATCAAAATTTATAGCAAGAATTTATTCGTCTGCGGCATATGTGTCAGTAGATACTTCGCGAATTCCACTGTAATACAAAATGTAACGTTGTATTAATATTGCCACAAAGCATAACGAGCTAACATAAGTATATTTTGTACATATTTATTTTACTGGAGATGCTCTCTTTTATTTCGCACATATCACAGTTGATCGCTGTAATCAAGAGTCGCATGATAACGGTAGTGTGTTAGCTTAAACTCACAGTCTGATTAATTTGGCGCGAATGTATTTGCGGACCGCGAAAAGGCGTGGGAATGAGGTTTGCGTTGTAAACGTATTTAGATAAGCGATTCGTCATTTGGCGGAACGGGCCTCTTGAATACCAAGTTATTCCGCCAAGTTGCCGTTACCTCTGGGAGTGCTCATTATCGAGGGGTAATAACATCACGCGGCGCGTCTTATACAGTCAACATTCCTCGTTTGTGTTCCTTACTTCGCTGGGAATATCAAGGCTAGAGGAAATGAACTTTCACCGGGGGACAAAATTGAAGCAAAAAGATTCCCTCGAGAAGCCGCCCTCTTTTCAACAGACAAGGCTTTCCTCCGATATTTTTTTCTACTTTAATCCGCCGAACATAAAATGTACGGTAGCTGAGAATTCTTCAGATTGTTATTTCCCTTTTTGCACAATTTGCGATTTAAGTCTGACTAACATTTTTCCAGATAATCAATTAGTTTACATCGAAGCTAAAGATTAATCTTAATATGCGCTGTAATATTGAAATATTTAATTTTATTTCAATAAGTATTTCCAAAATCAACTCCTTTCTCTTTACGTTTTTTTTTTTTTTTTCGATAAATTGGTTTCGATAAATTTAAAAATTATTATTTAAACGGGGAATATATTTTATTCATTGTTTGTTAATATACCATTATGAATATGTTGAGCATAATGATATTTCAAGACACACAATGTTTTACACAAATAAAATATAAATGATATTTCATGTAAAATAGATTTATATGATGATTGCGCCTACATTAGCTCTGTTTTGAAGTAGTCACCGCGCGTACCTGATAACCCAGGTATTTGAGACGGTAGATAAAACTCGCATGAACCAATTCGGGCCAAATTGTATCCTTGACCTAGCAGGACCTTAATCTGGCAGTGCGACACAGTGAAACACGCGGTTAAGTTGGATTGATGGGCTACTGGGCCGAATACGTAAAGCACACAGCCGTATAGTACGAATACCCAGCCGTATTATTTAACGAAAGAAAAAGCCGATGTCGTGCAACGACGTGGAATCACGCGAGCGACGTCGAACGTGGCTGTCGACGCGCACGCGATTGAAGTGAAAATTTCGAATATTGCGTGAGTCAACAGCGTCGCAACGGCGAAAGTCGTCCAGTGGAATATATCGATGTATGTCGCAACGTGAAACTTTTATGTCGGCTAGAAGGGAGTGTTATGGTTAAATCGAGAAACGTGGCGGTTAAGGCGGCGTTAATATGCGGAGGCGTGTAAATTTGGCATAAACTGAAGTTCCCGTGTAAAAGAGCAAGCGGATATTTACAATTCCGTTATATAGATGTATTTCCAATTTTATAACGCTCTGTATGCGAGTGAGCATATCAGCGTGAGTTATGCTCAATGATATTCAATGACCTGATCGCACCAAAGAATCAAAGTGACGTTACATTTATATATGTAAAGCGAATTATGAAGTTTGTGATACGTTGCACCTCCCGGAAATATCGATTTCTTTCGTGACCGATCGACAGATATTTTGCACCCTGATATTTTGTAACGTGAAATTTAACGGAACAAAGAACAATTCTTCCGTTATTATGCATGCTTGTTGATGCTCTTTTATGATTAAATTCAGCTAATCTACCTGAATGCACATTTGTGGCTAGAATAATCGACAACAGTCGATGTTTTTTTTTATAGCTGTTGAGGATGTCACGTTTAAACTAATTAATTAATTACGCACTATTATTTATTAAATATTTGTACTTTGGTAAAGTTATATATTTTAATTTAAACGTGATAATTTTAGTAGGTGAATATTAGCGAGTGTTGTTGAATAATAAGTTACATAAAACGACGATCAAAATACATAAGTTATTTATAAATAGTATTCTCATATTTAATCAAACTGTACGTATACTATAAATTTAAACAAAAATTTTGCTGCGATGATCAGCATTAACACAATACGTATATTGATGTTCGAGATATTAGATATAATCAAAACCGATAAACACTGTATGAAAAATTGATACGAAATACAGTGAAGAAAATAAGCTTTTCAGTGAAATAAAAGTTAAAATATCGCGAGTCAACGCGTTCGGTATTCTCGTCTTTAGCGCGACGACGTTATACGTTAAAATGGGAGCAGAGCTATTAAATGGATCGACTGTTGCATCCAACACGAGGCGGTGGCTATTGTCTCGTTTAACTGTGTGAATGACACTCTGTAAAAGCACGAGTGGTAACGCACCGTTCTAGCTGGGTGATGCACGCGATTAGCGCAGCGCTATTATAATGCGGCGATCAATTGTCATATTGCTTTCTGTTCGCTAAGGAATTCTCGTTGCGTCCTGGTTAGATCGTTCATCGTCTATTCTTATTTTATTTCCTTTTAATTCCGTATATTTATATTCCACGTATAATGTCAAGTTTACATGAAAGCACGATACTAGCAGAACATTAGAATTCTTGGAACTCGACTTTTATTTCGCAAAAATTATTTTTTTCTTTTCTGCTTTTTCTTTCTATATTTCCTTCTTCAATTTGTTAAATTTCAAAAAGATGTTTTCATTAATTTAAAAAAAAAAAAAACTGTTCTTTGTTGGCGATTTTAATTTCGGAGCTTAAATTTAACTTTATCACTGTTAATAAGAATATAAATGTTTATCTCGACTGACGTAGATGTCATAACGCATTTTCTGTAATATTGCGTGCATCGCTTTAATTGTTTTATAAGGTCGTTCTCTCGCACATTTTTCCACTTCCCAAGTTGTTACACCGGCGTGCAACAAAATTATCTTTGTCGTTTTCCGGTTTTATGTAGAACCAACGCACGATCGCAGCATATGCAGAGAAAAAATAAAATAGAGCGAGCAACGCGAGCGGGAACGACGCTGAGGTACATTGTGATGACACACGGTGAATATTGATTCTCGAATTTTCATTGCTCTGTCGGAGAGAATCGAGGGAAGAGTGCATTCTCCACATGCTGGAAAGCATATGATTTTTCACATCGCGTATTCCCACTTTGCCTAGAGAACAATTAGACCGCATCCAAAACATTTGTGAGATACATTTAATTTATCTACGATTTATCTACGAACTCTCGGGGTTACATGCCAATTTGTGAAAATACAAAAAATTTTGCACACAATGCGCACAATGTTTTTTTTCTTTTATGAAATAAAGTTGTTTGCTTTATATTTCCTTACTTGATGAATGAATATTTTCTATTTAATATTCACAAATAGCAGTTTTTAATCTAAACTTAATTAAAGCGCAGAAGCAAAGAGCACCTTCTATTTGCGACGAGATAGAGAGACTCGTGGAAAACTCACAAAAGGAAATTCTTCATTTTATTCACGAACACACTCGGGGTTTGTCGATGCGATTCATAAACACCCCGTACCATAATATCATGCACGATATTAGATATGTATATGGTACACATCCACGGAATGTAATGGGAAATCGATAGCACGTCCTACCTATGTGAAAAACTGTCCTCAAAGGTAACCTTTTATAATATTTTTAGAGAGATAGGGATATACTCGCCAATATATTTAGTCGAGTCTGTTGAGCAAACAATCGATGAAGGACAGAGATTGTATTTTAATACGAAGAAAACGATTAATCATGCATATAAATTGCATGCATAATTTTCGCTGGGGTGACTCGCGAATTTTTACATGTATGACGCATTAGGAGCGTATAAATGGAACGTGCGTCTTCCTGCGGCATTCTAATATAGACATTCCATTTTAGAATATTAAAAGGAATAAGTGTTGAGAAAACATGTTGCCAACCTTGGCATAAATATTAATAACTTTATCATTTCATTTATCAAGTTCATGTTGTACACAAAGACTATGTTGTACATAAAGGATCCTCTCAAGTCTTACACAACAGATTACACGATAAACACTGCAAGCTGATAATATTTTTTTTATAGTCCATTCTGTTTAATCTCCCCCCGTTAGAGAGCCAAATAAAAAGCTGCGGATAAAGTATAACAATTTTAATTAGTAGATGGTTAACTAGTGGTTTGCACGAAAAATTTTC